CCTATCCTCTGTAGAGGTACTAGTATATTCGGGAGGCAAACAATTAATGTGTCTCTCACATTGATGTTTCTCTCTCTCTCTCTCTCTCTCTCTCTCTCTCTCTCTCTTGCTCTCTCTTTCTCTCTCTCTCTCCCTCTTCTCTTCTTACCACTCTCTTTAAAAATCAATGGGCCCTAACCGGTTTGGCTCAGTGGATAGAGCGTCGGCCTATGGACTCAAAGGTCCCAGGTTCGATTGCGGTCAAGGGCATGTACCTTGGTTGCGGGCACATCCCCAGTAGGGAATGTGCAGGAGGCACCTGATCGATGTTTCTCTCATCGATGTTTCTAACTCTCTATCCCTCTCCCTTCCTCTTTGTAAAAAAATCAATAAAATATATTAAAATTTTTTTAAAAATCAATGGAAAAAATATCCTTGGGTGAGGATTAACAAAACAATAAAAATATCACACAGGAATGACTTTTTAAATTTCTTTCTCAATATGTAATATACTTTTTATTTCTGAGGAATTTTAAGGACCTCTTAAACTCTCAACCCAAGTGATTATGGTGAGATGGAAAGAACATTAACTGATAATTAGGACATTTACATTCTAAATTTGGCTCTTCTACATGCACAATTTTGAGCAAGTCCATTCCTCTTTCTGGGCCTGTAAAATTAGGGGGTTGAACTTGATGATCTCAAAGATCCCTCTGGCTCCTAACAGTCTAAGCTTCATGAAGCTTGCAAGTCTGGCTCCCTAAAATTCTGCTGGAGTGAGTGTTTCTGTCTTTGTCCTTGGTGTGATAGACCTGAGGGCCCAGGAGCAGGGGTGGTTGGTGAGCTGACTAAGCTGAGTCTTGTCTTGGTTCTGTCAACTGATGGTTGTTGATGTCAATTCAACACCCAACAGGATTCCCTAATTTGGGGTGCAGTGAGGAAGGAAACTATTCAGTGCAGACAGCTGAACTGTGATACAGTAAGGCTGTGAACAGAGGACAGCTGTGGAGCAGTCCCATCGTGTTACCACTCAGTTATGAAGCAGTACAGTTTGTGGGGCACCATGGCTACCAGGGCCCTCTCTGGCGGAATAGCTCTGCTCTGCTCCTGCCCTGGTCTGCTGAGACATCTTTGGTGTTTCATCTTTAGTGTTTCTGCTTCAGCTCCAGCAAGGAGACCGTCAATGGTCTTTGGTGGAAAGGGAAAGTGTCCCAGAGCCAAAGGGGAGCTGACTTACATAGACAGGAGTCCTGCCCCTGGTCCCTGATTGGTCCTCATGCAAATGAGGACTCCAAATCCCTGCAGTTTGATTGGCCCCAAAGGCATCACCCTGATTGGTCCATAAATATGCTGATGGAGATACAGCTGCATAGGGCCAATTGGATGGGGAAAGCCCCAGTCCTATTGGTTGAAGTAGGATTCCAGGAACTCCTTTATAAAGGCTGGTTCAGTTGACTGTCAGTGCAGGCAGGCAGTTCACGGGGGGAGGCAGGCAGTTTAGTGCAGGTTTCCCCTGAAGTGTAGTTTTCATGAGAGGTTTGCCTGTGTAGAGAGAGCTGCTAGGCTCTGTTTTTTAAACTTGAGCCCAGTTAAGTCACTGAGGGCCCTTCCTAGAGGTATTTTCTTTCTCAGGGTCCACAGTTCCCACTGCTCCTAGAAGGCTGAGTAGAGTGTTCTCAGGGGAGGCTCATGACCACAGATGACCGGAAAGTGTGGTCTAGAATTGATAGCAGCATCGATTATGTACCTGAGGAACTGACAACCTGCAGTCTGTTGTCACATTAGACCTGCTGATCCTGGGGTGACTAGTCCGTGATTTGCAAAAGGAGTTGAAAACAGCAGGATTATTATAAAATGTTTTTATCCTCTAACTTGCTTCCTGTTTTCAGAAGACTCCAAGGTGCCCATCATCCTTTCACCTCAAACAGTGCCCCCCATGGGATCTACTCACCCAGGTTAGTCCAGAGCTCTGAGCTCTTCCTAGTGCTGATATTAACTCTGGCCACCAGAGGGCATTCTTGCAATGTGGAAACCAACAGTTCTCTGTGGCGCCTGGGTCTCCTCTTTGCCAGAACAACCTGAGTTGCTAAAGCCATACTCTGCTTAAGAGACTCTCAACCGTCCTGGCCGGTGTGGCTCAGTTGGTTGGGTGTCCTTTGTGCATGGAAAGGTTGCTGGTTCGATTCCTGGTCAGGGCACATGCCTGGTTTGCAGGCTTGATCCACTGTGGGGAGCATGCGGGAGGAGCCAATGATGTTACGCTCTCACATCAATGTTTCTCTCTTCTCCCTTCCTCTCTCTCTAAAAATCAATAAACTATTCTAAAAAAAAAAAAAAAATTCTCAACCAGAGTTGTTTTTTTTTCCCCCAGGGGATTTTTCACAATTTCTGGAGAAGGTAGGGTGTGTGTGTGTGGGGGGGGGGGGGGTGCTATTGCTATCTAGGGGCCAGGGACATACTAAACATTCTAGAATGTACAGACAGCCCCTTACAACAGAGAATTTTGCAGCCAACATGTCAATAGTGCTGAGGCCGAGGAGCTCTGCTCTACGTGCATCTGTTGTCTAACATGCAGAGTGCATCGCCTGGACACGGATGTCCTCTGGAACCGGGTTTTCAGTCTCCTAAACTCACCGACCCCAAAGGGCAATTTTAGAATAGTGGCCGTGAAGCACTGCCTGAGATGTGGTGGGTCACAGAAGCCACAAACCACCGGAGAGGAGGAGGGGTAAGGCAGCGGGCACATTGGTTTCCATTATAGGACCCTGTCCCTGGGGCTGGCCTCTCTAAACTGGGCTCAGGCCCCTCTTTCTAGAGCAGACAACGCTAACTCTTTGTCTTCTCAAACTGGGCAGGTTGTTGGAAAAGCCCTGGAGTTGGGCCTATGGCTTTGGGAGGAGGCGAGAAGTAGTTTTCTCTACAGCCCCTGCGATTGTTATCGGTGGGAGTGGAGTTCTTGGGGTGCTGAAAGGAAAATAATTTCCTGAGGCTCCTATGGGAGGATGGGGTTTCGTGGAAAGCTTTATTGACGATGTAAAATCAAGAGGGTTTCCCTCCGAGGTCCCGTCTCCATCCATCTTGCCACGAAAGCAGTCCAATCTTGTCTTCAGCCGGGCTAGAAGTAAGGCCAAGTCCCAGAACTTCTGCTCCGTATTCAAGTCCTGTCCAGTCCAGCATCTGGCTGGCTTAGCCTGTGTTCCCAGCTGCAGTCCATTGTGTGTGGGGTCCGCCTGGCCATGGGCCATGTAGCTGCTTAAGGCCACATGGAGGGTGAATGCAGGTCATGCAGCAAGAGAGAAAAGGGAGCGGGGACTCTGGGGGTTTTATCCTTCCGTGATTTTGTTCATTTGCAGTGGCTCTACCCTCCCCACGGATGACCGTTTTTCCAGGCTAGATGGACAGACAAGCACCTTCCCTACATCACCCCAACTTCGTTGTGCATGTGCCCGTCTCCCCCTTTGTTCAATCCCTTCCCCCAGGGGTCTGCAGGGAACGGACCAGTGGCTTCCTGGGGAGCGTGAAGCTGTAGCTTCCATCATGATGGGCTAGTTATTAATATTAATAATAGGAAGAGAGCAATGGGGAGGCCAGGCATTATAAGCATAATCATCTGGGCAGCTTGACCAGGAAGCTATAGCCTATATCTAGCTTGGAAACCCAGGATTTGGGTTCCTTGCTTTCCTCAATCTTCCTGTGGGGTGAGGCCTAACCCTGTCCTACTCCGGGTTTCTCCTTCCCATTCCACTCCTGACAGTGACACACCTGCCACAAGGAAGGACCGAGAGGTAACAGAAAGCAAAATGTACAGGGATCCCAGGGACAGGGAAGCACCCTTACTCTTTGAGTGAGGGGAAAAAAGATGGACAAAAAGGTCCTCAGTACCTCCTTGGTCTCTGTTCCTCATAAAAGAAATAAGTGGAGACAAATCCTGACCCTGTATTGACAAGCCTGGAGATAGGAGAGCAGTAGGGTTCAATCCCCTTGGCATTTCCTTGGTTAAGCAAAAAACCCTAATGTGTCTCCCCTTCCCCAGCCATCCAGTGCTTCATCACCTCCTCCCATCACTCTTAGGACCTGGGGCTCAGAGCAGGAGGGACCCCTGCCAACACCCTCCTTCACCCCCAGCCCCTTAGAGCTCTGCTTAGAGACCCACGGCAGGATCTGAGGGTCATTCTGTGGAGAAGCCCTGCTCCGCTGTTGTTCTTTCCTTGAGGCTGGTTGTCTGCATGGCCAGAGTGGCTGCTTTCAGCCTTTCTCTCTGGGACATGATGGCAGCAGGAGGGAGGAGACTGGTTGGCTTCATTTCCATTTCTGCTCCACGACTGAGGCCTCATCCCAAGCCCCCTCGCTCTTCCCATCAGGAATGTTGGGTGCTGTTTAGATCCACACCACCTCAGAGGGCAGCAGAAATGTCAGCCAAGGGGCCAGTTTGCCAAGGGCATTTTATTCATGGTCTGCAGTGGAGTGTTACAGAGTCCCTCCCTACCCCACTTGCTTGGGTCTTGGGGAAATGGAGCTAGAAGGACGGGCCTGCATGCACGTCCCAAGGTCACAGAAATCAGAGGGATGGAAAACAAGGATGTGGAGGGGCAGCAGGGAGACTGGGTAAGGGACCTGGGCCCCCGAGAAGAAAGGAGTTGCCCTGATATTCAGGGAACAAATCAATTCCTGATCCCCTTCCCAAGCTAGACCTCTGATTTCCCCCTCATGGGGGTAGGTATGGGGTGCTTCAAATGATGGAAACCTTCTCATCTCCCTCAAAATAAGTTGAGATTCAGAATGTCTCCTTAGGCCCAGCCGGCGTGGCTCAGTGGTTGAGCATTGACCTATGAACCAGGAGGTCACTGTTTGATTCCCGGTCGGGGCACATGCCTGGGTTACGGGCTCAGTCCCCAGTGTGGGGAGTGTAGGAGGCAACCAATTGATGATTCTCTCTCATCATTGATGTGTCTATCTCTCTCTTCCTCTCCCTTCCTCTCTGAAATTTAAAAAACAAAACAAAAACAAAAAGAATGTCTCCTTAATCTGATTAGCAATTTAGTGGGATGGAGGGGGCACCCTGCCTCAGTTTATCCTGTCTCCACATATGCTCCTTCTCTGCAATGCCCCCCACCTCCTCGGATCCAACTCCATCCATTCAAATCCTCCCACAATTTAGACTTATTTCCACCCAGGGAGGTGCAAAGCCAGCAGGGAGGTGGGCCAGAGGAGAGGTGGAGTTTGGGGGCCCACGTCACATCTTCCTCCTCAGTTAAGGAGGATCCAAGGGCCACTCTGCTTCAAAATTCTCCAAATTAGGGGACCTAAGACTTTCCTCCCCAGGTTTGGGTCTTTGCATCTCTGCGAAGAAGTCCTCCCAGGGATCCAGGTACCCCTTTTCCCCCATCAGGGGGCGGGGCTTTACCTCCAGCCCCTCTGGCCTAAGGAACAAGAGCCTGAGCCTCTCACCCGCCCCCTGGCCCAGCCCAGCCAGTAGGGGAAGCCCCGGGAAATGCCAGGGCGCTGGGGGGCACGTGGGCCCTGGGAGCAGGGTGTCTGTCATGGGGGACCCTGGAAACTGCTGCTCTGGGAGAAGAGGGGCCAAGAGGGGCCCTGAGAGGCGGGTCCAGTCAGAGGGGAGAGAGGGTGGGAGGGGGGGTGTGAAGGAGGCAAGACTGGGCCGCTCTTCTGCAAGTCTTCCCAAATGGCAGCAAGGGCTGAGCAGGCAGTGGGTGGAGGCAGAGCCAAGTCCTAGAGAAAGAGAGAACGGGTCACGAGAGGGCCCCCCCTTCTCCCATTTCCCATTTCTTTTTCCTCTTGCTGAAACTTTCTCTCCCCCATCCCGTGTGCCTTCCTTTCTTCTTTGCTTCCTGTCTTGTTGTAAATGTCACTTCCTCGGGGAAACGTCCTGAGACCGCCCCAGTCTGGGCAAGAGCCCCAGTACCTCTCCTGCAGGGCCCTCCGCCCCGTTAGCATCAGGCGGTCATTTGTGTGATTATAGTTCTGTGGGAGCAGGAACAGTCTGTATTATTTTCCTCTGGATCCAGCCCAACCTGGCACATATCAAAGGGCTCAATAAAAATGTGTGGAATGAATGAATGAAGATATCCTTTGCCATATACCCGCGAATCCATTCTTCACTCTCCCTGTAGCAGGGGGCTCCGGGGTTAGCTGGGCAAGGAACTGGCTGCATGGCCTGACGCTTGTCGTTTAAATTCTCAGGCCTGTTTCTTCATAAAAACTCCTCTCCCAGGTAAGAACAGGCGACGTCATCAGTAAGAAGGGGCCCACAGAGCCAAGGGCCCAGTGCACGCGGGCTGAGCCAGTCTTCCTCTTCTCCAGGTGGCTCCAGCACATCACTCTCCTCCTCCAAGGAGCCTTCCCTCCTTCTAGTCCTTCCAAATCTGCCCTCTTTCCCCAGGATCCTACACAGGGGCTCCCAGGCTGGGGTCACTGGGGATGGCTATATAGAACTTCACTTCACTTTGTATATTTCAAAAAACAAAAATACCTAACACCAGTTCTACATTTTTCTTAGTAAGGCTATCATTTAACTAGGAGAGCAAGTATCAACCCAATGTGATCACATTGGTGGGGCTATTGCTGATAAACACTGGGAAAACAAATTAATTATGACAATATAACCGATTTATTTAATAGAAACAATATTTCTGAAGTTGGATCTATGTAAGGGGAAAACAGTAAAAAGTGATACGTCGCCTGGCTGACATGGCTCTGTGGTTGAGCGTCTACCTATGAGCCAGGAGGTTGCTGGTTCAGTTCCTGGTCAGGGCACATACCCAGGTTGCAGGCTTGATTCCCAGTAGAGGGCGTGCAGGAGGCAGCCGGTCAATGATTCTCTCTCATCATTGATGTCTCTCTCTCTCTCTTTCACTCTCTCTCCCTTCATCTCTGAAATCAATTTAAAAAATATTTTTAAAAAACTTGATACGGAGTCACTTCCTTGTAGCCTATCAGTAGAGCAGTGACCTTGGAATAGCCCTTGTAATGGAACACAGAAATTAACCTAGACAAGATCAACAGAACTAGATAGAGACAGGATTTTTGGCAAAGGTCAGATAAGAAACAAGGAACTGTAGAACGTTACCCAAAACATACCATGATGTGATTATAGAGGCATGCTTATAGGAGCAAATGGTATAAATACAGATGTAATAGGAGAATAAAGAGATAACCTCGCTATGCTGATCAACTGAAAAAACAAAACAAAACAAAAAAACAACTTGATACGTCATTAGAAAAATCACCGAGTCCTGTGCCAGAGGACCCTCTCCTGGCCACTGTCCTTACCCAGGGTCCTTACGTGAGGTGGAGGCTGCTGTTTTGCACCAGGAAGGTGTGTCCCCTGACCTCTGAGGTCAAGGCTGTGTCTCCCCTTGCAGAGCCACAGCAGAATAGGCATGTGGAGGAGATAGTACTGCTTCTCCCCTACCCCTTCCTAGCACCAGTCTTACACCTTCTGCCTCTGCCTCAATAGTCCTGGAGAGCTTCCTCCCTTGGCTCCGAGTGCTCTCACGAAGGTGGAGGTTAGGGGCTGGCACGGCCTTCTGGAATCACCATCCACAAGCAAGACATGGGGCTGCTACTGGTCTTCTGGTGACCTAAACCTGCTTAGCATCCCTCGGGGCCCAAGCACAGGCGGGTATGTGTGTGTACCTGGGACAGGGAGGTGCAAATAGCCCACTCCAAGCCAGGGAACCCCCTTCCCCCCCTCATAGTTTCCCAAAGAGAGAAGCGCTGTGCCCAAGGCATTCCCAGAGCTGGGGAGAGGTGGCTGGGGTGGAAGAACAGGGAGAGCTGTTCAGGAGCTGTTTAGCTCCAGGCTGCCTGATGAGTCCCAGCAGGCCCTGGGCCGCCCCACGCCCACAACCTCAGCTGCACTCACAGGGGCCCAGAGCCAGGCATCCTGCCTTCTCTGAGAGGTGGGACCTCTGCGTCCCCAGCTACACTGGGGGTGGGGCTAAGGCCGAGAATTCTCATTCCAAGAAATCGCCAAGGGATAGAGGGGTGGGTCGTGGGCTTCTGCATAAGCGTCTGTGTCTTTGTGATCTTTTCCACAGAAAATCTGATTTTTGTCACTTCCTGGCTGACAGTCCTGTAAGTGCTGGCCTCTGCATACAGTTCTGCCTTCTCCCCCTCGGGTCACTATATGCTGACACATTTGCCTTTTCCTGGTTGCGCCTCCTTCTCCACCCCATGGTCCTTCCTCCTGCTGATCCCATCATCGTCAGTCTAGAATCTCTTCAAAAGCCTCCCCATACCAGTCCTATGCCTACCCCAACCCAAAGTCAACATGAACCCAAGCCATCTTCGTAAAATGAAGATCTCAACATGCCTCTCCCTCCTGGACCCCCTCCTGCTCCCAGGATAAAGTCAACCCCCTTCGCGTGGCTTCAGAGGACCTCTGTGACTGGACACCTGTTTGCCTTGCTGCCTCATCTGTCACCTTCCTCCGTGTCCCCACCATCACATAACTCCGCTCTGCTCGTGGCAAGCTACCAGCAGTTCTTCCGATGTGCTACCCTCACTCACAGCCTTTTGCTTTACAAACGCTATTCTGTACCCAGGCATCTTTCTCCGCCTGCTTCCCCTGGAAGCCCCAACTCCTTCTCTGCATTCCTGTAGCACCTGTGCTTCCCCGAACCTCTGATCTGTCACTGGCTGTACTCCCATCTTTTCTCCCTACTAGTCTCTGAGCATCTTTAAAAATATATATATATATATTTAAAATATATATATATTGATTTCAGAGAGGAAGGCAGAGTGAGAGAGAGAAACATCAATGATGAGACAGAATCACTGATCAACTGTCTCCTACATGCCCCCTACTGGGGATCAAGCCCACAGCCCGGGCATGTGCCTTTGACCGGAATCGAACGCAGGACCCTTCAGTTCACAGGCCGATGCTCTACCCACTGAGCCAAACCAGCCAGGGCTCTCTGAGCATCTTGAGGGCCATCTTTCATTTCTGAATCCCCACACCTAGTAAGTAGCTAGTGCTCAAGAAATGTTTGTTGAATGAATAAATGACTTATATTATTCCTGTCTCAATTAACTGATATTTGGTCTTATCCAAAATATCCACAGAAACATATGGTCATGCCAAAAGGTTCTTGAAATTTCGCCCTGTCCAAAACATCTACTCTTGGAAAATGCCCCTGGGTTCAAACAGACCAGAGTGTTTATTTCTTACTTTGGGTCTACAGGTTAATACACAAGAAATATTATCAGGTTTTATTGGTCCAATAATAGTGTTGTGGCTGTATTGCCAACAATCTTTCTTGCCTTAGAGCCCAGCTGGTCATGGCACATGGGGTTAGGTAGACTGGTCGGGGTGGACCAAATGTCTCCATGGACATTTTTAAAAATATATATTTTTATTGATTTCAGAGAGGAAGGGAGAGGGAGAGAGGAGATAGAAACATCAATGATGAGAAACATCAATGATCGTCTCATCATTGATTGGCTGCCTCCTGCACGCCCTGCACTGGGGTTGAAGCCCACAACCCAGGCGTGTGCCCTGGACGGGAATCGAACCATGACCTCCTGGTTCATAGGTCGACACTCAACCTCTGAGCCACGGCCGGCCGGGCTCCATGGACATTTTGGACAGGATCAGGTCTCAGGGACCTTTAGGTGTGGGTGTTTTGGACAAAACCAAATGTCCTGCTAGGCTTGTCTCATGCTCCCTCACCCATGTGTTCATCCAGGAGGGTACTCCCCTGGGCCCTTCCCAGTCCCAGGCACTCACGGTAGATACGGCTGCTGCTCCCCTTCTTATCCTCAGAGGCCGCTGGTGGCCCTCGGAGGGCCCACTGTCCAGCCAGCTGCTCCACCGTGGCCCAGGGGGTGAGCAGCATGCTGTGTAGGAGCTGCGGAGCGAGGAGCAGCAGGTGTGGGGGTGGGATGGGCTCTCCCTGGCACACATTCCCTGGGACTTACTGTTTTAACAACCAGTTGTTAAAACAATGAAATGCTCTCATAACGGTTGTTAAATCACCCCTGCCCACATGCCTTGGACCCTTGCCTGAGACCCCCTCCCACTCGTTCCCTGTGATGCACCCCTAAAGGCGTGATGCCTAGCACAGGGATATTTTAGAAGATTTAGAGTATCGACCCTGGACACTCAGGGACTAGGATGCAAGGGAAGAAGGACATTGGAAGCTGCTGGGCCCCTGAGGCAGAAAGGAGGGCTGGGGGCCTGCTAGGCAGGAAGATCAGTCTCTGGGGGAGCCCGGGGCTAGGGGCTGCCTTCACGCTTACCTTACTCTGCATGCCCATGGGCACCAGGGTTGGCCGAAACAAGTTGGGGGCTGGCATTGCCCGTACCTCCCACAGAGGACAGTTGACTACGATGAGCTTGCTTAAGTTGAACTTGTAAGTGAACCTTTTGCCTTTGGTCTTGTGCAGGATCTTCTTATTGTAGTAATATCTGGAGATCCCAAGGATGAGAATGGAGAGTTGGCCCAATGGACAGGGGGTGTCGTCTGAGACCCAGCCATGTCCCCTCCCCAGGCCAGCAAGGCTCACCCCGAGCTGTTCCTACATAACCACTCACGGTCATTTCCCAAGCCTTGAAGGGGCAGGAATCGGGTGGAGTGCCAGAAACCACAGCCCTTTTCTTTGAACTCTGCCCTGACTGGCCACTGGAGCTGTCTTCTCTCACCTGAGGGCCCGGCTCAGCTTGTCATAATTCATCTGTGGTTTGCACTTCCTGCGGCCCCAGAGGCGGGCCACCTCGTCTGGGTCCTTGATGACAAACTCCCCGTACTCTCCCTGCTGCCAGGCGATGACATGGCGGAACTCCTCCTTCTGCAGCAACTCCAGGATGAAGTGCCACAGCTGGATCTGCCGGGAGCCTGGGGAGGACTCGGCTTTGTAGGCCCAGTCAGGGAAGGCCAAGCCTGGGGCAGAGAGGAAGGTGTGAATGCCTCCAGCGCCCCGGTGCACCGTGGGTGGGAGGCCTGGCAGAGGCTCACCTGAGATCGAGGAGTTGCCCGCAATGGTGGGGACGCCCTCTGCCAAGCAGCTGCGGTGCATGTTCCAGTCTGGAACTGTGTCTGGGCTTTGGGGGAAAGAAGAAGGCAAAGGAGAAGGCAGGGGAGAGGGAGGTGGGAGAGGGCGGGAGGAGGGAGGAAGAGAAGGAAGGAGATAAGAGGGAAGAGATGAGGGGAGAAAAGGGAGACTGAGGCAGGGGAGCAGGGTCTGGGGCAGGAAACTCCCCCACGCCCCCCTCCTCTGGGGACCTCCTCATTGGCCAGGAGCTGACCCCAAGACACTGAGTCACTTATATAGATGGAAAGGAAGGCAAAGGGTCCTGTATCCTGCCCCCGCTGGAGGATTTAGACAGAGGAGATCTCTTCTCAGGGCTTAATAGGACTGGAGGTTTTCCCAAGATAAGACCAAATGTAATTAATTAATTATTGGCTCTTTCTAAATCTTGAGTGGGAGGAGATGGCAGACACCGAGAACCCCTACCATCATTGTACTTAGACTAGTTTTACATTTGAGAAGAGCAGGATTTTTTTTTTTATATTTTATTGATTTTTTACAGAGAGGAAGGGAGAGAGATAGAGAGTTAGAAACATCGATGAGAGAGAAACACCGATCAGCTGCCTCCTGCACATCTCCTACTGGAGATGTGCCCGCAACCCAGGTACATGCCCTTGACCGGAATCGAACCTGGGGCCCTTCAGTCCGCAGGCCGACGCTCTATCCACCGAGCCAAACCGGTTTGGGCAAGAGCAGGATTTTTGTGTGTGTTTTTTTTCACTGATAAGTCTCAAGTGCCTAAGAAAGTATCTGGCACATCATAGGTGTTCAAGAAATGATTGTTGATACCATCAATGAATGGTACTAAATTGATCAATGGTGCCTCCATGTGATTAACACCTGAACACCTGCCTTCTCCCTCAGCGTGTTAGCTCCATGAGGTCAGGAACCCCAGCTGTCATGTTCCTGCCGGTTCCCTAGAGCCCATCCTAGCCCAGGGCCCTCCCTCCCAGGTGCTCTGTAAATATTTGTTGAATTAATGAACATGAGCAAGGAAGAAGGGAATTCGTTGATTCCCAATTTGGCATGGTGGGTGGGTGGGTGGCGGTCAGATGGGGAGAAGATGGTTGAATGAGCCCCAGTGTGATGCAGGCAAAGGGAGGAGAGAACATGTCTAAGTCCCAAAGCCTTTGGATGGAACTGAGGCTGGTGCAGAAAGGCTGGCCCCCTCTGTCACTAGTGGAAGAGGAAACGATGAGCAAGAGGCTGAGGAGGGATGGGAGAGCTTGCCATGGGGATGGCAGGACGCAGCCTGCTCCTGGGGGTGGGCCTAGAGGGGTTACCTGGACGGAAGGACCACTTGTAAACAGGGGATGGGTTTACAAGGCCTGGGTGCTGGGTTCCCATCTCTGATACGTGGGTGTAAGGTGAGCTTCATTCTCTACTGGAACTTACTAGGTGCAGAGCTCTGGAGGGCATGTGAGTGTTTGGCTGGAGTAGCTGCCTCCCTCTCCAGTCCAGGCTCGGAGAGGGAAAGCAGCTGACACATGGTGTTTAACTGCTATACCCCCACTCCTAATCCACAGCACTCTCTCATTTCTCGTTATTTATTTATTTGTTTGTTTTGTTAATCCTCACTTAAGGATACTTTTCCATTGATTTTTTAAGAGAGATTGGAAGGGATGGGGACACACACACAGAGAGAGAAACATTGATGTGAGAGCAACACATCGACTGGTTGCCTCCTGCGCACCAACTGGGGCCAGGGATGGAGCCTACAACTGAGGTATGTGCCCTTTGACCGGAATCAAACCTGGGACCCTTCAGTCCACTCCATCCACTAAGCCAAACCAATAAGGGACTCTTTTCTCATTTTTCAAAGTGATGCTTCAAGACTTAAAAAAAAAAAATCTGTAGTAGTGCTCCTGAAACTCTAATGTGCATAAGAATCCCCTGAGGATCTCTTTAAGTGCAGATTCTGACTCAGTGGAACTTGGGTGGAAACCTGAGATTCTGCATTTCTAACAAGCTCCTGGGTGGTGCCCCTGCTGCTGGCCGATGGAACCATACTTTGAGTAACAAGAATACATGGGATACAGCAACAAGGAGCTGTGGGTGTTAGAAAGCCAAGGGATCCCAA